TTTTTTTTTAAGTCTTCTATTCATCTCCTTTACTTCATCATTTCTTCCCTTTATTTTGGCTTCTCAATCTTCTAGTGCCCAAGAGTCTCTTCTGTCTTTTCATCATTTCAGTCTTTTCTTCCTTCTGTGCCTTTGCAGTGAATTTTTGCATTGTGCAGATGACACAATTTTGCTTGCTGAAAGCAAGGAGGACTTGGCAACACTTGCTGCAGAAGAGCGGATAATATAGCCTTCAGTATGAACTATATTTCCAATTAAGAAAGTAAAAGTCCTCACTACTGACTCACTAGAATACACCATTGTAGATGGAGAGAAGATTAAAGTTGTTAACGATTTTATCTTATTTGGATCTATAATCAATACCATTGATACCAGCAGTGAAGAAATCCAAAGATGTGTTGCAATGGGCAAATCTGTTATCAAGGATCTCTTGATAAGTTGCTGATGAACAGTAATGACAGCTTAAGACTAAGGTGTACCTGACTCAAGCCTTGGTCTTTTCATTTACTGCCTGTGCATCTGAAAGTTGGGCAAGGAATTAGGATGATAGAGGAAGAATTGATGCCTTTGAGTTATGATGTTGAAGAGTCCTGAATATCTCATGGACTGCCAAGCAAACCGAACAGATATATTTTGGAGAAAGTGCAGTCAGGGTACTTCTTAGAGTCAAAGATGATTAAACTTCATCTCACATACTTTAGGCCTTTTGTTAGTAGGAGCCAGTCCTTGGAAAATGACATCAGAGGTGATGGTCAGCAAAAGAGGAGGAAGAATCTCAACAAGATAGATCAACACAATTGCTGTCGCAGTGGGTTCAAGCATATTGAGGATGATGAGGATGGTGCAGGATAGGGCAGGGTTCAGATCCATTGCTCATAGGGTCACCATGAGTCGTAGTTGATTTGGCAACACCTAACAACAATAACAGCAGTCTAGCTAATGTGCTATTTAGGAATGTTTTGGGAAAGTTCATCCCTTTTTTGTTTTGGTTCCTGTATCTGACCTGATCCAACCACTTGAGACCTGAGCTCCTGCAGCCTAGCAAGCTTGTTTGGCTCCTAGGCTGTGTGGATTGTCTGACCCTTCCAGACTGAAGAGTAATCCATGGATTGCCAGCCTTCACTACAGAATAAGCCATTTTCTTTAGTTTGTTTATGGCTTTCTGTGAGATTTTGCAGAAAGGAAGAGGGTGAAGGGAGGAGGAATAATTGATACTAGAAGTGATGGAATGGTACAGCTGTTTTGAAATAGTTGGACATTCAGGCCATTTCATTTTCTACCTTATGAGAACTAACTTTTCATGAATCTAAATTATTTGAGCAGTAATTGATTATGTAGACATATAAGAGAAAGCATAAAAGTCATGTTATCTATAGTTTACAAAGAGATGAAAAATACCTCCTTGAGCATGATTAGAATTTGATCACTCATAAAAGCTTTATTTTCTGTTTAATAGTAAGGTTTATTTCTGCCTTCATCTTGTTCAAAAGACAATTTCAAAACATTTTATATTTAAATTTAGATTTGCTTTTTAATCTAAAAACTGTTTTTATTGACATAGGTGCTGTAGGAATGGTAATTTAGTACATACATCTTTGAAATTTGCACTGTTGGAAGATTTCCTAAGATTTTAGAATAAACTTAAAAAATACTTATGGATAAGTAATCAAGCCAAGAATTTGCCATGAGATTTTGTCTGTAGTACTCACAGATTTGAGTGGTTGGTTATAAAGTTCCTACCTTGCCATACCTTTTGATTCATGGTCAAAGACAAGAATTAGTCATCTTAATTAATGTTTAAGTTGTCTTGGGACTTTTGATAATTAAATTCTTTTTATACTTCTTTATTATTCTTTTACTAAGCAGTTTTGCCTTTATCAGTCTTTTGTTTACCCAGTAAATACCAAAACTCTTTAGTAATTTTGTAATGAATCCTTGGCTAGATGTCCTAACGGATAAGGAGTTGCTCCAGTCTTTGGAGAGGGATATCATGCTTGGGAGAATGGCGGGACAGTGCAGGAGAGGAAGACCTTCAATGAGATGGATTGATTCAGTGACTGGGGTTATGGGGGTACGTTTGTCAGAGACAGAGCAGGACAGAGCAGGGTTCAGAGCTATTGTATATAGGAACAGCACATAACAACAACCCCAAATAGAAAAAGTACCATTTACCAACATGATATCTGAACTCCAAAGCAGTTGAACCTAGTTGAGGTCACCCAGTAAACCCAGAGCTCAAAATGTCAAGAGTGGAGCTACAAATCTGGGAAAGATTGAACCCTTAGATTCCATGAGATTGATACGGGAAGCACTGGACACAAAGGGTTCTTGTGGACACCAACACCTGCACACTCAGCAGCCATAAGCTAGAACTTCTGGAAGGAAAAATCTGATCTAAGGCGGAGACAAAAATTTTGAGGCTCAATGTCAAGAAGACAAAAGATTCTCACCACTGGACCAATTGGCAGCATCAGGATGGATGGTGAAGAGATTGAGATTGTTCACAGCTTCAGTTTCCTTGGCTCCACAGTCAACGCTCTTGGCACCAGTAGCCAGGAAATTAAAAGACGTATTACGATGGGAAAGTTTGCTGCTAGGGACCTCTCCAAAGTACTGAAGAGCGCTGCTGTCTCTCTGGAGACTAAGGTGCGTCTGATACAGGCCATGGTCTTTGCAATCACTTGTTATACATCAGAGAGTTGGACAATGACCAAGGAAGATAGAAGAAGAATTGATGCTTTTGAGCTGTGGTGCTGGAGAAGAGTATTGAGGGTACCGTGGACGGCTAGGAAAACAAACAGATTCATCCTGGGAAGGATTAAACCAGGTGGCTCCCTAGAGGCAAGGATTCTGAGGCTCCATCTAACATACTTTGGACATGTTGGTAAGGAGGGACCAGTCCTTGGAGAGGGACATCATGCTTGGGAGGGTGGAGGGACAGTGCAGGAGAAGAAGACCCTTGATGAGATGGATTGATTCAGTGACTGGGGTAATCGAGATGGGTGTATCAGAGACAGTGCAATTGGCACAGGACAGAGCAGAGTATAGGGCTGTTGTACACAGGGTCGCTATGAGTCCAAGCGACTAGACGGCACATAACAACAGCAAGGAAAACTTGCAGAACAGGGAATACCCTTCTGAGGGAACATCCCTCAGAAGATGCCCAGCTTATATACAGGTCTCCTCCCCAGAAAAATACAAAATGATTGGTTGTCAGATTTAATCAGTTGGAGGAAGCTTTTAAGTTTGCATGTCTGCATTCTCTAGACTGGCTATTCACTCAGAACCAACTGACCCTTTGACCCTTCAGCAGGTCTCCAGAGGCTGTAAATCTCATGGAGAGCATCTGTCTTTCAGAGCAGCTAATGGATTCAAACCACGTGCGCCTTTGATTGACAGGTAGTCTAGTTATGTTGCAGACCGAGGGTGAAGTATTTTTATGTTGTTGTTGTTATGTGCCCTCGAGTCGCTTGTGACTCACAACATGTCCTCACAACATGTCCAAAGTATGTTAGACGGAGCCTTAGAATCCTTGCCTCCAAGGAGCCACCCAGTTTAACCCTCTCCAGGACAAATCTGTTTGGTTTTCCTAGCAGTCCATGGTATTCTCAGTACTCTTCTCCAGCACCACAGCTCAAAGGCATCAATTCTCCTTCTATCCTCCTTAGTTATTGTCCAACTCTCTGATGCATAACAAGTGATTGTGAAGACCATGGCCTGTATCAAATGCACCTTAGTCTCCAGATACCCACCATTGCTCTTCAGTACTTTGGAGAGGTCCCTAACAGCAGACTTTCCCATGGCAATGCGCCTTTTAATTTCCTGCCTACTGGTGCCAAGAGTGTTGACTGTGGAGCCAAGCAGACTAAAGCTGTATACAATCTCAGTCTCTTCACCATCCATCCTGATGCTGTCAGCTGGTCCAGTGGTGAGAATCTTTTGTCTTCTTGACATTGAGCCTCAATCCATATTGGAGGCTGCAGTCCTTGACCCTCTGCAGCAGGTGCTTCAGGTCCTCTTCAGTTTCAGCAAGCAGGGTTGTGTCATCTGCATAACGCAGATTGTTGATAAATCGTCCACCAATCTTGACCCCACATTTCTCCTCATAGAGCCCAGCCTCCCGGATAATCTGTTCTGCATATAGGTTGAAAAGGTATGGAGATAGGATGCGTCCGTGGCGTACGCCCTTCGCAATTTTGAACCATGCAGTGTTCCCTTGCTCTGTTCTGACGACTGCCTCCTGGTCCAAGTATAGGTTTCGCATTAGCACGATCAAGTGTTCTGGGATTCCCATTCTTCTCAGAGTCAGCCACAGTTTGTTATGATCCACACAGTCAAGTGCCTTTGCATAGTCAGTGAAACACAGACAGACATTCCTCTGGCATTCTCTGCTTTCAGCTAAGATCCATCTAACATCAGCTACAAAAGTATTTTTGTAATTATTAATAATGAGACAGACTACCAGGAATGAGAGAGAATACAAAACAGGGGGCCAACAGTTCCCGTGACTGAAGGCCTCAGGCCATGCCTCTCTGGGTATTTATTGAGAATCATCAGGAAGGTAAATGAAGTTATATCATAAGGAAGCACAAAACAAAAACAAAGGATAATGGTGAAGTCTTGAAGATAACGCAGAGTTCCTCTTTATGCTTATTTTAGGAGAGAGGGATTAATTTAATACAAACTAAGAACAGTGTTGACTCTTAGTTCCACAGGGCGACCTTCATCTTGTATTAAACCTCCCTCATATCCTGATACAGCACTTGGTTTATTATTATTAAATTTGATATTCGGCTTCCCTCATATGCCTTATCAGATTATTTAAACTCTTCCTGGAACCATGTTTACTTTTTGTGAAAGGCTAAGAGTTGTGTTTAAACAGGTAAGGATCATTTTCTTTAATGCTTTTACACTCCAGACCTGTGTACAGACTGTGGTATTTCCGAAAATGACTTCTATGGTTTTGACATCTAAATGAATTCTTTTCCTTGGTACATCAGGGACCAGAGGAAGACCGAGAGGCAGAATCTGAGTTAACAGTAACACAGTTGAAGGAATTGCGCAAGCAGCAGCAAATGATGTTGGAGAAGAAAATGTTGGGAGAGGACTCGGATGAAGAGGAAGTGGATACCACTGAAAAGAAGCAAAATACTAGTAGTCAAGACGATGAGATGGGCTGCATGTGGGGAATGGGTAAGGAATTGAAATTGCTGCCAGAGGTTAATATTTTAAATTTATGGCTTGTGCTAGGAATCCTTAACTCTTTCATATAGAAAGGGCACACATTTGAAGGGGGATATTTACAGGATCGGAAGAAAAAAGGATAGTAATATCTTTAAATATGCTGTTGTGCTATTTCCTGCCTTTGAAAATCCACTGGACAGTCAGCTATGAGTTGGTTTTAACTTGATGGTACACAAAACCAGTAAGAGAGCCTTGGTGACTTAATGGTAAATAGTTGTACTGCCAACCCAAAGGCAGGTGGCTCAAATCCACCAGCTGCTCCATAGGAGAAAGATGGGCAATCTCCTCCTGTGTAATTTACTGTCTCTGAAAACATGCTGGAGGGTCAGCCATGAGTCACTTTCAACTCATTAGTATATAACAGTAATAATAATAATGTCATAAAAGAATGTAAAATGCTGCTTTCATAAAATTTTTATATTCATTGCATGTTGAAATGAGAATTTCACCTGTTTCTATTATCAGTGTGGCTATTAGAAAATTCAAGATTACATATATGGCTGTTGGGCAGCACTGACTTAGATCTTTGGGAAACTATGAATTCATTAGTCGGAGAGTCTTGAGTTAGTCCTTGAAGGAAAGGAGAAGTAGCCCCTATGAAGCTGAACTTGTTAGTGAACCTTGTGAATCATGTTCAGGGCACAGGTTGATGATTTTAAGGGCATAATGAGTAGGCTAGATTCGTTGACAGATATAAAAAAATTGTATTTGAGACAAAATAATTAGACCTGGGTGGAAGATGATAAGAATCCTAGGCTTAGGAGCTCAAATTGGTTTTATCTCATAGAAAATGTGATAGAGGGAAAAAAAAAAATTAAGGTACAGTGAAAATAAAATTGTGACTTGTCATACAATTTAGAAAGCATAAATATTCCTAACTAGAATATAGTATTTTTGCTTGTCATTTTCTCTATTTCTCCCTGAAAGACCTTTCTTTTTTGTCACTGGTGACTATAGTCAGCTTGAAGTTAGTGTTATTAGTGTTATTCAGATTATGTTTTTATTTATTAGTTTTTAACCTTCTTTCTCGTTGCCTGTAGGAGAAGATGCTGTAGAGGATGAGGCTGAAGAGAACCCCATTGTCTTAGAGTTTCAGCAGGAAAGAGAAGCCTTTTATATAAAGGACCCAAAAAAGGCTCTCCAAGGTTTTTTTGATCGAGAAGGTATGTAAACAGATTCTGACTCTGCCCATATCCACAGCAATGCTATTTCCAGAGGCTTCAGGTTGAATACTAAAAATACATATATATTTTACCTGCTCACCCTCTTACTCAGTTTTTGCCTTATGGTCAGGTTTCTGTTTTTCTTTTTTAAATTAATATTTGAAAAATTTCTTCATTGTAATTGTTCTTGTGGTGAGTATAACAAATCAACTCTTAGGAATTTATTTGACTCTTAGGAATCTTCAGTAATTTTTAAGACTCTAAAGAGATTCTAGGGAGCCCTGCTAGATTAGTATTAAGGAGTTTTGCTACCAAAGTAAAGACACACAGTTCAAATCCACCAACTGCCTCCAGAGAGAAGGATGGGCAGTCTCCTCTTGTGCAGTTTTCAGCCTCTGAAAACCTGCTGGAGGGTCAGCTAGGTGTCAGTTCTGACTTACCGGTACATAACAGTAACAACAAAGGGATTTTTAAAAAAAGTTTGATATCTCTAACCTACAATATCAGGTTTCTTTTGAAAAGGATGAAAATAGTAGTAGTCTTCTTAGCTCAGAAACAACTAGAGGTTGTTTTTCCTAGTCTTATTCTTCTAAAAAAAAAATACCAGTTAACAAAACCCTTTAGTGGCAAGGGCAAGAAGCTGTGCTGCAGTCCCAAAGGCATGCGGTTCGAGGCCACCAGGTGCTCTGTGGAAGGATGGGCAGTCACCTCCTTGCATCTAACTGCCTCTGAAAACCTGCCCAAGGTCGGCTATGGGTCGATTCTGACTCTATGGTACACAATAACAACATTCTTCTCAAAAGTCCTTGGACTTTATAAACGAGAGGAAATTGAGCCATCTTTTTGTCCCAAATTCACTTGATTTTTTTGTGATTCTTAATATACATTTTTATATTTTTTTGTCCTTTAAAAAAATCCCTTCCGGAGAGGATTGTTTCCGTGGAGGTGCTTTGAGAGAACATCTGCATGTAGCACTACAGAATAAGATACATGAACTAATTGCTTTGTACAGTTTATGTTTTTAAAAACCAGACCCACTACCTGACAATCAGTTTGCCGTCCTGTGGTAGCTTGCATGTTGTTAAGATGTTGGATGCTGTGCCACCAGCATTTAAAATAATAATGGGATTACTCATGGTGGCAGATTCTACAGAGCTTTCACACTAAGACTAGAAAGAAATGCCTGATGACCTAACCAGTGAAACCTTAATAAATCATGACAAAGTACTGCCCAATCTATAGTACTGCAAAATGACTCTAAGTTGGAAGGTTCTCAAAATACACTGTGGACACAACTGAACACACCAACAATCTTGTAGATGACTAGGACTGGGTACCGTTTTGTACATGGGGTCATTGCTGAATTTTAGCTGATATGGCAACACCTAACAACTACAAAACCAGGCATCTGTGACAAATTAATCACTTTGACCTCTGGAGGCCAGTATAAGAACGTCCATGTGCATTATATTTTACATATAGGATCCATCTCAGGTCACTAATTTTTCAGGTATCTGCTGGTATTTACAACTTTGGAAATCATTAAGAGGTTTGAAAGAAAAACTGATTTTGGTTTTAAACATAGGTTTTATAAATGTTTTATCCCTTCTGGACCTTTGGGGAAAATCTGGAGATTAGTATCCTAATTGATATTATAAAATTCTAGTCCTAAAATGTTTTGAAAATATGGTGGACACATTTTTTTCCATCTACATTTTCTTTTCTTGTCCTCAGAGTCATCTTAATTTTGTTACCAGATTTCATATATAGCTGTTGGTCAGCTCCAACTTAGACCTTTGGGAAACTATAAGTTCATTAGCAGTAGAGTCTTGAGTTGGATCTGGAAGGAAAGGAGAAGTAGCCATTACAAAGCTGAACTTGTTAATGAACCTTGTGAATGATGTTCAGGGCAGTTCTTGATTTTTAGGGCATAATGAGTAGGCTTCAGAATCCTTGCCTCCAAGGAGCAGTCTGGTTTAACCCTCTCCAGGACAAACCTGTTCGTTCTCTTAGCAGTCCATGGTTAAACCAGGCTGCTCCTTGGAAGAAAGGATTCTGAAGCTTCGTCTAACATACTTTGGACATGTTATAAGGAGGGACCAGTACTTGGAGAAGATGGTGGAGGGACAGTGCAAGAGTGGAAGACCCTGGATGAGATGGATTGATTTAGTGACTAGGGTAATTGGGGTAGGTGTGCCAGAGACAATAAGATTGGCACAGGGTAGAGCAGGGTTTAGGGCTGTTGTACATAGGGACGCTATGAGTGGCAGGTGACTTGACGGCACATAACCACAACAATTAGTAGGCTAGTTTAGTCGGCAGATATGGGAAGAGTAAGAAAATTATATTTGGGACCAAAAAATTAGACTTGGGTGTATGATGGTAAGAGCTCAAATTTGGTTTTTACCTGTAAAAAGGTGAGAAGTTCTGCTTTTAAAATACAGTGATGGAGAGGGAAAAAAATTCAAGTTACTATAAAAATAAATTTGACCTAGCACACAATTTAGAAAGCATAAATGTTAGAAGTAAACAATAACAAGAAGTAAAATCCTTTGAAATCCAGTATTCAGTTGTGGTATAAGAACTCTTGTTCCTGTTCAACATTTGCTCTCATTACTTGGTATCAACAAGTAATTTTCAGATGCCATAAGGAGCCCTTGATGGCGTAGTGGGTAAGCAGTCAGCTGCTCATTTGTAGCCACCAGGCCTTCTTCAGGAGAAAAACAAGACAGTCTGTTTCTATAAGTATTTATAGCCTTAGAAATTTACAGCCATTCTGTGTCCTGTGTTGTTGTTATGAGTTGAAATCATCTTGACAGCATTGGGTGAGATTTCTCATTTTGTCTGTCTTCCATAGGAGAAGAATTGGAATATGAATTTGATGAACAGGGGCACAGTACTTGGCTCTGCAGGGTGAGGTATGTTCTTTCCCCATTGATGTTTATTTCTGGAAAATGATCCATTTCAGACTATGGTTACAGACAACAATTTAAAAGAGTAATTAACTTAAGTCTTACTTTTAGGCAATTCTTTATTTTGGGCCTTTTTAATCGAATAGAATTTTTATATTGTTTCAGAAGTCTGAAGTGACAAGGTAAAAGGGGAAAAATTGAAATTCAGCCTTGGCTACATAGAACAAAATGAATGGAAAGATTGGAAAGCCAGTTAAAAAAAACATGATTATCATATAATACTAGTTGTTTACATGAGAATTCTTAAGAGCATAATTATGCACTGATCCTCCAAATCACTGTAGGCTCCCTGTGGATGACTCAACTGGAAAGCAGCTGGTGGCGGAGGCCATTCACTTAGGAAAGAAAAAGGAAGCAATGATCCAGTGCTCCCTGGAAGCTTGTCGGATCCTTGACACTTTGGGATTGCTACGTCAGGAAGCAGGTCAGTATACGGTAACAGTTTTTCTTTAAAAAGAAAAATATGTAGTTTATCACCACAAAAAAAAATATGTGGTCATTGCTAAGGCTTTTAGAGTGGAGTTTCTGATTTGCTGTGGATATGAACATAAAGAAAAAAATTCCCAGGAAGTTTTCTCTTTGCTACCTTGCTAGAATTTAACTGACTGGATAAATATCTGAAAAAGAGTTAACATAAAGTATAATAAAACCTTTTTATAGGAGGCAAATGATGTAAATTTTATAGAACAGACTTCTATGAGGTAAAAAGCAAAATTTTCAATCTTTATACCTGAGGTAGCTATTGCTCATGTTCCCCTAGATATTTTCTGTACTTACAAAAACTTTTCATAAACAAGTGAACACTTGTACACAAATGCAGTCATGTTACTTTTACTCTTTTTATAGCAACTGTCGTGGAGAACTAGCTATACCATAATTTCTTAGTTGTTGTTGTTATGTGACATCGACACTCTATCTAGCTACCCTGTGTACAATAGCCCTAACCTCTGCTCTGTCCTGTGTCAGTCTTACTGTATGACACCTACCCCTATGACTCCAGTCACTGAGTCAATCCATCTCATCAAGAGTCTTCCTCTCCTGTGCTGTCTCTCTACCCTCCCAAGCATGACGTCCCTCTCCAAAGACTGATCCTGCCTTGCAACGTGTTGAAAGTATGTCAGACAAAGCCTCAGAATCTTTACCTCCAAGGAGCAGCCTAGTATCACCCTATGACAAACTTGTTTGTTCTCCTAGCAGTCCATGGTATATTTAGTACTCTTCTCCAGCACTACAGCTCGAAGGCATCAATCCTCTTGTCATCCCTAGTCATAGTCCAGCTTTCTGATGCATAGCATTCTGGAGAAGTCCCTGCCAGAGGACTTGCTTAATGTAATACATCTCCTGATTTCCTGAATGCTGGTACTAATGGTGATGATTGTTGATCCTAGAAAGATGAAATAGTTGACAGCCTCAATCCTTTCTCCATGTGTCATGTGTTGACTCTTGGTCCTGTGGTGAGGACCTTTGTTTTCTTGTTGTTGAGATATAATCTATACTGAATGCTGGAGTCCTTGATCCACTGCAGCACATGTTTAATATCCTCATTTTCAGCAAGCAAGGTGGTGTCACCTGGATAATGCAGGTTATTGATGAGTCTTCCTCTGATCCTGATGCCACTTTCTCCCTCAGAGTCCAGCTTCTTGAATTATTTGTTCGGTGTACAGATTGAGTAGATATGAACAAAGGATCCATCCCTGTCATACTGATTTCTTAATTTTGAACTATGCAGTGTTCCCTTGCTCTGTTTTCACAATAGGCTCTTTGTCTAGTTAGAGGTTTCACATGAGCAGTTAAGTGTTGTGGAATTCCCATTCTTCTCAATGTTAGCCATACTTTGTTATGATCTACATAGTCAAATCAAGCACAAATAGTCGTTCTTCTGGTATTCTTTCCTTTCAGCCAGGATCCACCTGACATCAGCAGTGATATCCTTGGTACCACAGCCTCTTCTAAATCCTGCTTGAACTTCTGGCAGTTCCCTATCTATATGTTGTTCTAGCCATTTTTTAATGACTTCCAGAAGTATTTTGCTTGCATAGATATTAATGATATTGTTCAATAATTTTCACATTTTCTTGGCTCACATTTTTTGGGAATGGGGACATACTAATATGTTCTCTTCCAGTAGGTCAGCCAGGTAGCAGTCCTCCAATTTGCTGGCATAAATTGGTGATCACATCCAGAGCTAAATCTGTTAAAACATGTCACTTAGCATCTCTTCCATTCCTAGGGCCTTATTTCTTGCTGAAGCCTTCAGAGCAGGTTGAACTTCATCCTGCATTATCATTGGCTCTTGCTCATATGATACTTTCTGAAACTTCAGTGTCAGCAAATTCTTTTTGGTATAGCGATTCTGTGTATTCCTTCTATCTTCTTTTGATGCTTCCTGGATCATTCAAGATTGTGCCCATAGAATCTCTTAGTATTGCAACTCGGGGCTTGAATTTGTTTTTAGTTCTTTCAGATTGAGAAATGCCAAGCAAGTTTCCCCCTTTTTGTTCTCTCTGTACTTGTCATTTTGCTTTATCTTTTTGAGCTTCCCTCTGAAATCTTCCTTTCAGCTCTTTCATCTGGCATCTCTTCCTTTTGTTTTTGCTTCTTGGTGCCTTAATGCAATTTTCAGAGTCTCTTCTGACATCCATTTTGTTTTTTTTCTTTCTCCTCCTTTGTAATGATCTTTTGTTCTCTTCATGGATAATATCTTTGATGTCTTCCTAGTTCCTCTGGTCTTTGGTCATTGGTGTTCAATGCTTCAAACCTTTTCCTGAGTTGATTCTTATATTCACCTGGGATAGACTCAAGGTCGTATTTTGATTCCTCCGGACTTGTTTTAATTTTCCTCAGCCTCAGTTTAAACTTGCACATGAGTAATAGATGATCTGTCTCACAATGTGCAGCTGTTCTGGTTTTGACTGCACACACTATAATTCTCCAACGATTGCTTCCACAAATGTAATTAGTCTGATTCCTAAGCAGTCCATCAGGTGAGGTTCATGTGTAAAGTCACTGTTTGGTTCAGGCTGGGAGGGCAAATAATAATGACAATGGAGGGAAAAGATTTTTGCATTTTTAATGTTGACAATTTTTTTTTTTTTTTTTAGTACAAGAAGACTTTTTTTTGGAATGATTTATATTCTATGGTTGGTTGGGGTTTTTATTTGTTATTTGCTATTGTATAGACTACAACTCACAGTGACTCTATGAAAAACAGAGCTGGACCTTGACTTACCCTGTATTGTCTTCAGAGTCTCTGCACTTCTCAAGCCTATTGTTGTAGTGCCCTGCCAGTTCATTTCATTGAGGGTCTTTCTTTTACTGACCCTCTGTTTTCCACAGTCTAATGACTCCTTTCAAGTATTGGCACCTATTAACAACATGGCCAAAGTATGTGAGATAGAGCTTTACCATTCTAACCTCCATCAGAAACACCTTCATTACATTTTCTCCAAGACTGATTAGTTTATTCTTCTGGCAGTCTATGGTATATTCCGTACTCTTTGCCAGTACCAGAGTTCCAAGACTTCAGTTCTTCTTCAGTCTTCTTTAGTCATTGACCAACTTTGAGATGCATACAAAGTAATACAAAACACAACAATAGATGGATCAGGTGCATCTTATCATTAAACTGATGTACTTGCTGTTTAACACTTGGGAGAGATCCTTGAGAACAGGTTTTCCCAATGGAAACATGTATTTTTACTTCTTGAGAGCTGTTACCATGGGTGTTGATTTGTTGACAAGTATTTTAAGGTTGACCTTCAAAAAGGTTGTATCAGTGTGCATTTCAGTAAAGCATTTGAGAGCCCATCTTCCCTTACCTTTAATCTTTTTATTTTATTATTAATCCATTTACTTTTCTTTATTTTAATTTGGATACATGAGTGATATTTTGCTGTTTCAATTTTATTTCTTTAATTGTTGAAACAGTTTGACATCTTTTCAAATGTTTCTTGGTATTTTTGTATTCTTTTTTCTATGAACTAATCATTTTGTTTTTATGTTAAGATTTTCTTTTGGACTGTTGGTATTTTTGTATGTTTTATCTGTTTTGTCTCATTCATATTTAAAAACCATTTGTTCATAAATTAACTTTTTTTTTATTTAATTTAACAGTTTCTTGAATCTTTTCCTTAGGTAATTGATGGGAATGTCTTTATCTGCTTGCCTACCTCCTTTTTTTCTTGTTTAAAGAATGTATTCCCATTATCATTTATTTTATCCACCTGTAGTATCTCGGAAAAGGAAAGCCAAAAACTGGGAAGACGAAGACTTTTATGATAGTGATGATGACACATTCCTTGATCGGACTGGCCTTGTTGAAAAGAAACGTCTCAACCGAATGAAAAAGGCTGGGAAGATAGATGAGAAGCCAGAGACCTTTGAATCACTAGTAAGTTTATCTGTAGGAACAGTTGTGTTTGTTACATCTTTTTTTTTTTAAATAATCCATTATTTAAATCCATTTTATAGTAATTGGCACTTCTTAAAGATAATGGCATTGACGTTTGGTACTGAATTACAATTTTATGTTTTGTAAATCTAATGACAATAAGCAACTAGTCTTATCAAACTCGTTAGATGAAATTTGGCTTGCTGGATGAGATTTTCCTCTGTTGTTCTTAGATGTCATTGAGTCATTTCCATTTCATGCTGTCAAGTGACTATGACTAGTAGTGACCCTCTGTATGTATAACGTCTCTGAACTCTGCTCTACCTTGGGCCTATTACATTGTCTCCAACATACCATCTCCCATTACCCCTGTCACTGAGTCAGTCCATCTTATTTAGGATCTTCCTCTCTTGTGCTGTCCCTCTACCCTTACAAGGATGATGTCCTTCTCCAAGGATTGGTCCCTCCTTTCAATATGCCCAAACTATGTGAGATGGAGCGTCAAAATCCTTGTTTGCAAGGAGGTTTCACCCTCTCCAGAATAGACCTGTTTGTTCTTTTATTGGTCCATGTTCAATACTCTTCTTCACCACCACAACTAAAGGCATCAATTCTCTTTCTAATCCAGCTCTCTGATGGTTCACAAGTACTTGTGAAGACCATGACTTGGATCAGGGGCACCTTAGCCTCTAGACTGACATCGTTATTCTTTAGTCTGGAGAAGTTCCTGACAGCAGATTTTCCCAATGTAATTAGTCTTTTGATTTCCTGGCTGCTGGTATCAAGAAAATTATTCTAGAGCCAAGTAAGCTGAAGCTGTTAAAAATCTTGCCTGTCATAATGCTGCCAGTTGGCCCACTGGTGAGAATCTTTGTATTCTTGATGTTGAGCTTCAATCCATATTGAAGGCTACAGTCCTTGACATTCTGAATCAGATGCCTTAGATTCTCCTCAGTTTTGGCAAGCAAGGTTGTGTCATTTGCATAATGCAGGTTGTTGATGAGTCTTCCTCCAATCCTGATGACATATTCCTCTTCATTAAGTCCAGTCTCCCAGATGATCTGTTCTGCATATAGATTGAAAAGGTATGGAGACAGGATGCATTCCTGGCATGCACCTTTCCTGATTTTGAACATAATAACCAGAACCATTTAAAGAATAGGTTTGAGGCCTTGAACACAAATGAGTGAAGACCAGATGAGTTGTGGGAGGATATCAAGGGTGTCATCCAAGAAGAGTACAGACATTCATTACAAAGACAGAAGAGGAAGAAAAGACCAAAATGGATGTCAGAAGAAACTCTGAATATTGCACTGGAGTGCAGAGAAGCCAAAGCACAAGGAAGAATTCAAGATACTAAAGAGCTGAACAGAAGATTTCAAAAGGCAGCATGGGATGACAAAGTAAAATATTACAATGAAATGTGCATGGAGCTCGAGTCAGAAAACCAAAAGGGTTGAACTCACTCAGCATTTCTTAAGCTCAAGGAACTGAAGAACAAACTCAAACCTCAAGTTATAATCAAGGATGCTTTAGGCAGAGTATTAAATGATCCAGGAGGTATCAAAAGAAGATGGAAAGAATATACTGAGTCATTGTATCAAAAGGAATTGGCAGACAGAAGAATTTCATGAAACAACATATGAGCAAGAACCTATGGTGATGAAGGAAGAAGTTCAAGCTACTTTGAAGGAAACAGCAAAAAATAAGGCCCCAGGAATAGATGGTATATCAATTGACGTATTTCAGCTAACAGATGCTGCCCTGGATGTACTCACCAAGTTGTGCCAAGAAATCTGGAGAACAACCACTTGGTCAACTGCCTGGAAGAGATCTATATTTGTTCCCATTCCAAAGAAAGGTGACCCAGCAGAGTGTGGAAACTATAGAACAATATCGTTGATTTCACATGCAAGCAATATTCTACTGAAGATTATCCAAAAATGACTAGAACAGCACATCAGCGGAGAACTACCAGAAGTCCAGGCTGGGTTTAGAAGGGGTCGTGGTCCTAGAAATATTGTAGCTGATGTTAGATAGATCTTGGCTGAAAGCAGGGAGTACCAGAGGAATGTCTATCTGTGTTTCATTGATTATGCAAAGGTATTTGACTGTGTGGACCATAACAAACTGTGTTCGACTCTGAGAAGAATGGGAATCCCAGAACACTTGATCGTGCAAATGAGAAACCTATACTTGAACCAAGTGGCAGTTGTCAGAACAGAGCAAGGAAACACTGCATGGTTCAAAATTGGGAAGGGCGTACGCCAGTCATGTGTCCTGTCTCCATACCTTTTCAACCTGTATGCAGAACAGATCATCTGGGAGGCTGGGCTCTGTGAGGAGAAATGCGGCATCAGGATTGGTGGAAGATCTTTCAACAATCTGCGTTATGCAGATGACACAACCCTGCTTGCTAAAACTGAGGAGGACCTGAAGCACTTGCTGCTGAGGGTTAAAGACTGCAGTCTTCAATATGGATTGAGGCTCAATGTCAAGAAGACAAAGAGTCTCACCACTGGGCCAATTGGCAACATCAGGATGGATGGTGAAGAGATTGAGATTATTCACAGCTTTAGTCTGCTTGGCTCCACAATCAACACTCTGGCACCAGCAGCCAGGAAATTAAAAGACATATTTTGATAGGAAAGTCTGCTGTTAAGGACCTCTCCAAAGTACTGAAGAGCAACGGTGTGTCTTGGAGATTAGCTGGACAATGACCAGGGGGGATAGAAGGAGAATTGATGCTTTTGAGCTTTGGTATTGGAGAAGAGTGCTGAGGGTACTATGGACTGCTAAGAAAACAAACAGATTCATCCTGAAGAGGGTTAAACCGGGCTGCTCCTTGGAGGCAAGGATTTTGAGACTTTGTCTGACATACTTTGGTCATGTTGTAAGGAGGGACTGGTCCTTGGAGAGGGACATCATGCTTGGGAGGGTAGAGGGCAGGCGCAGGAGGGGAAGGCCCTCTATGAGGTGGATTGATTCAGTCACTGGGGTAATTTGGATGAGTGTGTTGGAGACAATGAGATTGACACAGGACAGAGCAGAGTTTAGAGCTGTTGTACATAGGGTTGCTATGAGTCGCACGCAACTCGATGGCACATAACAACAACACCCCTATATATAACAGGTCTAAACCTTGCCATCTTCTTAATTTCCACTGAGCTCAAGCCCATTATTGGGTCACTGTGTCAATCTATTTCATTGAGGTTCTTCTTTTCTTTCCCTCTACTTTTTCAAGCATAATATTTTTTCTCATGAACTGACCTCTCCTGACAACATGACCAACGTATATGAGATGAAATTTTACCATCCTTGCCCCTGATACTGCATTTCTTCTAACCAGTTTATTCTTTTGGCAGTCTATGATGTATTCAATACTTTTTGCCAACACTATACTTCAAAGGCGTCAATTCTTCTTTTATCTTTCTTATTTATTGTCCAGCTTTAACGTGTATATGTTATGGTTATATACCATAGAGTCGGAACTGACCCATAGCTGGCCCTCCAGTGGGTTTTCAGAGGCATTTAATCACATGGGAGGAGATTGCCCATCCTTCTCACAGCATCTCGTGGACTGGAACCATGTGCCTTTGAGATTGCAGCTCAGCTTCTTGTCACTAAGGCACCAGAGCTCCCTATGTTGTATATGCCCCTATGTTGGGGCAGGCACACCTTAGTCTTTAAACAGACATCTTTGCTCTTTCGTACTTTAAAGGGGCCATTGATGTAAATTTGTCCAGTGCATTACATCTTTTGGTTTCTTGGCTTATGCTTCTTCTATATATGTTGATTGTGTCTCGGAGTAAAATTAAGTCATTGACGTCAGTCTTTCCTCCATCTATCATGAGGCTGCTGATTGGTTCAGTGGCAAGGATTTTTATTTCCTTGGTGTTGAAATGTAATCATAGTCACTGATCTTCTTTAGTAAGTGCTTTAGGTCCTCTTCGTACAAGCAAGATTATATCATCTGCATGATGGTGTTCAAATATGATGTTACTGTCAAAAAGGAAGAATGGGATAGTCTGTGGGGAAATTAACTTTAGGCTCTGGATGTCAAGAAGAATCAAGAGATGTAAAAAATTTTGAGGAGTATAGTGTAGTCTCAGGCTTTTAAAATGATGATAATTTGGCACGTACTTACATTCTTTTTAGTACTCAGAACTTAAACCAACGTACTCAACAGCTATCCTTTTGGTTCCTTAATGTAAAGTCTTGAACCCTTGACGAAAATAATGTCTGAATTTTGTGCATTCTATTTAATTCTAAGTTCTTTAGTTTAAAAAATTTCACTGAAATTAAATAAAAGGAATATGTTCACTTCATAAGGAGCAGACTTAAGTGTCCTCTGACTTTATCTTCTACACCTAGTAAACAGTAGTGAAAATAAGAGAAAGAACACAAAGAAAACTATCATATTTGTAAAAAGAGATATATTTGCTTACCTTCTTGATTTTGGCCATTTTAGGTCGCAAAGTTAAATGATGCTGAAAAGGAACTCTCAGAAATTTCTGAGCGCCTGAAAGCCTCAAGCAAAGGTAAAACTTTAAGGGATTCATTCAGCAAATACGTATTGAGCACTTCCTATATATAGGACATTATGCTAGACAGTAGGGATACATTAAAGAGCCCTGGTGGCACAATAGTTAAAATGTTCTGTTGCTAACCTGAAAGGTGGTGTTTCGAATCCATCAGCCACTTCACAGGAGAAAGATCTAGTGGCAGTCTGCTGCCAAAAAGATTACAGTCTTGGAAACCCTTATGGGGCAGTTTTCGCTGTCCTGTAGGGACAGTTTGAGTAAGAATTTAAATGATGACATGGGCTTCATTTTTTTGTTTTTTTACCTTTCATTTTGGGGATGTTGGTTCCCTTGATTAATAAGATAAATGATAGAGAATATGGAGCCAAGGAATTCTAAGAAAAATCATGGCCTTTCAAAGCTAGAAAGACTGTTCTAAGGTCAGTTGGGACAGTCCTTTAATGGATTAGGAAAATGAAGCCCACTGATGAGAACTGACTTCCTCATTTCTTATTCTCAGTGCCAATGATGGCCTGTTGGTGGCTTTCCTTTAGAATTTCGTGGGTAGTTAAAAGCTACATGGTGCCATTTTTTGAACATGTACTGTTCCTTTCTCGGACAGCTCTGTCGGAGTCATCATCTCAGGACTCTTTAGATGCATTTATGTCAGAAATGAAATCGGGGAGTGCATTAGATGGTGTGTCCCGGAAGAAACTTCACTTGAGAACTTTTGAGCTGAGGAAAGAACAACAAAGACTTAAAGGGTTGATAAAAATTGTAAAGCCAGCAGAGATTCCAGAATTAAAAAAGTAAGTAACTTTTAAGTCCTGTTTGGAATAATAAATGAGACTAAGTTAGCATAGATAACATTTTTTTATTCTAAATATATATATAAAACACATTTCTTATTTAATGTTCTCACATGTACAATTTAGTGACATTATTTACATTAATCGTATTGTACAAATGTCACCAATATAGAGATATCATCATAAACAGAAATTCCAGGCTTACTAAGCAATCTATTAATCTTACTAAGCAGTGACTCCTTTTTTCTCCTCCATTCTGATAACCAAACCTGGTAAATGCTAATAAATTTGTATTTCTATCTCTACATTTGTGTAGTGTAGATATATGAGGGAGATCTAGATTTATTTTTTGTGACTTGGCATGGTGTTTCAAGGTTCATTTGTACTGTGGCATGTATCAGGACCTCTTTTGTCCTCGCCAAACCTGTTGCTGTTGTGTCAGTTTTGACACAACAACCCATGTGTTACAAGGTAGAACTGCTCTACAGAGTTTTCTTCCCTGTAATTTTATGAGAGTAGATTGCCAGACCTTTCATACACAGAGCTGGGAGGGTGTGAACTCCCAGTTTTTAGATTAGCAGCTGATCACAAAGTGCATGCTCTACCCAGAGACCTTTATATTAAAGAATATAGTGGCTTCATAGATTAAAAATCCATTTTATTTATAAAATACAGACTAAGGGACTAAAGCCTATGTTCTTTCGAAGACTGAAGTTTTTACTTCTATCTTATAGTGCAGAATAAACTTTAAAAAGCAGTATCACAAATTCCTAATTTCCCTAATATGTAAAGACTACTTGTGGATGGTAAGTAGATACAAACCACCTTAGAGAATAATGAGCTAGGAATTTTAACTGATAGGCCACAAGTTAATTAAAAAAAAGTAACATTATATTTATATATATATACACACACACACACGCGTGCACACACATACATACATACATACACACACACACACACACATATACATGGCTTTAAAAAATGCTTCAGGTCAATCATTAGAAATTGAATACAGTGCAATGGCATGTTTTTAAACATTTGTTGTGTTTTAGGTGAAAGTTTACATAGCAAACTAGTTTTCTGTTCAACAATTTGTGCACACATTACCGTGACACGTTGTTGTTTGTGACACAGTGTTGCTGCCTCTATCGTGGGTTGTCGCTCTCCCATTTCCCCTCTGCCTGCTCTCTTCCATCCTTCTTGTTTTCCTGTCTCCCCTTGTCGGCTCATCTTTGCTTTTGGGCAGATGTTGCCTAGTTGTTCAGAGGAGCACATTCCGTGTGATATTATTGTTTATTTTATAGGACATTCTATCATTTGGGTAAAAGATGGTCTCTGGGAGTGCTTTCAGATCTAGATTAGGGTAGTATTTTTGGAGGTCCCTCCAGTCTCTCTCAGTCCATTAAACTTGGCTTTTTTAATGAATTTGCATTTTGTTCTACATTTTTCTCCTTTTATAACTGGGACCTTCCAATATATGCCTGGTCAGAACTGTTAGTTGGTAATAGTAGAAGGTACCATTTAGGTTTTCTAGTCTCCAGCTGAGAGAGGCTATAGTTTGTGTAAACCTGTGGACTAATTGCTTCCTTGAGCCCTTCACACTCCTCATTCTGGATGAGAAGAGACTAATAATGACTCTATTTTCTATAATACCACCTTCTAATCTATGGAATTGACAAAGATCGCTAATTGTAATAATACACTATACTGGGGAAGCTGCGATGATAATGTACTTTCCTGAATTGCTTTTGGAAGGACAAATTATTAGTATTCATCCCAATTTTAACTGCATATGCCCTTTAACCATTTTCTTTCTTTCTTTTTTAAATTATTTTTTGTATGTGTACCGTCAAATCAGATCTGACTGGTACAGGAGAAAATTGCCCTTCCTTCTCCAGCAGAACATCCGGTGGATTCGAACTGCCTATCTCTGGGATTGCAGTGCAGCTTCTTGCCACTGGACCACCATAGCTCCTCTTAACAATTTTATCTCTAGACATTTATCCTACATATATCCTAATTTACTTAAGAAATAAAGAGTATACATTTCAATATTATTTTTAATAATAAAATACTAGAAGCCACTGGAAAGTTTATAAAAAAGCAATGAGGCACCTGTTATATGCACAGAGACAAGGTACAGAACAATGCATAAAAAGCACTATCTGTGAATAAATGATGGTGTGGGAAGAGCATATTGCTTGGATATGTATGTGTAAGACATGTTTAAATCAGGCATTCCCAAAATAGACCCTGAGGGAAGGGCTCTTCTACAAGGATTTTTTAAAAATTATTATTATTATTATTATTATTATTATTATTATTATTATTAATTTCAGTGAACATCTAC